CTCCTGAGGTTGACCAACCCAAAGGCGATGACAATCTCAGGGATGCACCCGCAAAAACTGAAAGAGACACTTAAGGTCGGCATCGGGATGAGGTGGTACCAATCGTAGCAATAGGGATATGTTTCAGACTGGTAACCATCCCCCTCTCGCTCGAGGCATCGTGGACCTCCTCGCTGGAGGTGGCCCCCTCTGGTGGTGGCGTTGTCGTTTCTCCGACCCCCCACATGTAAGAAGCTCTCTCTATGTGACGCGACAGCGACCGTCACCAGCCCCGCGCCCCCCCCAGGTGACGTCACGCTCCGCGCCCGCAGCGACCAGGAATGCCTAGGGATGACTGGGGACTGGTCAGAGCAGCATGGAGGTGGCGATCGGCACCACAAGCGCCTGTCTACACCACTGTGCTCGCGTGCACCACACCGCGTGTACACCACACCGCCTGCGTACACCGCAACAGCCGTATGAAGCGCAGCGCCTGTGTGCATCACAGTGCCTGCGTGCACCACAGCGCCTGTGTACACCACAGCGAATTTGTACACCGCAACAACCGTCTGCAACACAACGCCTGTGCACCACAATTCTTGCGTGCACCGCGGCGCCTGTGCACACCACAGCGTGCTCGAATACACCACAGCATCCGCGTGCAACACAGCGCTGGTGTACACCACAGCGCCTGCGTGCCTGGAGCATGTAGGTGAGAATCTGCTGCGGACAGCTAAGCGCCACGCGAGGGGAATGCTGATAATAACATGCAATGTTCTTCCCTCCTCCTCCTCCTCCTCCGCCTCCCTCACCCTCCCCCCCGTCGTGCGGGTCGGCGCTACAGCGCAAGTGCGCGTCTCAGCGTGCATCCCGGAAAAATGGTCAATTGAATCAGTCCGCTGGTTTTTTCGAACGGCCAATTCTGCGGGTGCCTTCTGGACGCAGATGGGAAGAGTTAGGATGATGAGGGAGGACTCGGGAGGACTCGTAGATTCCAGCGCTCTTGCTTCGAACGGATTCCTTTCCAAATTCTATACAATTGCTTTCTGTGTAATTCACAGGTGCTCCAGTTTCTCATGCAAAGTGCCTCTAAAATTCTATATACAACATTGGTGTTCGAATGCGCACGCATGCTGTGGTGCGCACGGGCACCTTGGTATACTCAGACGCTGTGGTGCACGCAGGCACTGTGTGCACTGGTGTTGTGTTGCACACGGCGCGGGCGCTGTGGTGTACACAGACGCTGTGGTGTACTTACTGTGGTGCACGCAGGAACTGTGGTGCACACTGGCGCTCTGCTGCGCGCGGCTGCTGTGGCGTACATAGGCGCTGTGGTGTACACAGGCGCTGTTGTGCACGCAGGCACTGTGGTTCACACAGGCGTTGTGGTGCAGATCGCCACCTACATGCTACTCCTACCCGTCCTCGGTCATTCTTATAGGCATTCCCAGACGCCGCTGGCGCGAAACGTGACGTCACCGGCCCACTTCCCCCCCCCCTGGTGACGCCCCTTCTCGTCCAGGAATAAAAAACAAGCTCTGATTACTCGCGAGATGGGGACTCTTAAGACGAAGCCAGGACGAGGATACCATCAAATGAGGATAAATCGAGAATAACTGAGATCCGGAGGCTCTGGAAGATGTCCCGGGCGACGCGGCCTTACCAGAGTGTTTCAGAACGCTCGAGCATTCCGGAACGCGGAACGCTCTGGAACGGATCTATCCTCGTCTTAGCCCCGTCTTAATTCTGCTCGCGGCAGCAAGGTGGCGCTCTGCTGCCACAGCTGCGCCACCCCGCGCGGAAGTGGCACGCTCCTCCAACGTTCCTGCCTGCTTCCTGCGCGTCGCCGAAAGTACCCTTTACTGGGTGCCCGGTTCGGTGGCGCTGAACTGTGACGACCGAGGGCATCTGTTGGCGGCGCGCAGAGGCGGGTAGGGGGAGGGGGGAAGGCTTCTTACAAGAACGTTGCTTCTTAGAAGGCCCACGTCTTCTAAGAAGCAGGGGTGCTTCGAAGAAGCCTTCCCCCGCTCCCCGCACCCCCCTCCGCGCGTGGCTGAGTCTGGAGGCCCGCAGGGGCGACACAGGTATCCACAAATAGCTCGAACCTCAGCAGCCTGGACCTTCGTCGACGACGACGACGGCGCCCATCACCGACGGCCTCCAATGGGCCCAAAGGGGGATCAAATGGGCATCCACAATCAGCCCGAGCCTCAGCAGCTCGACCAGTGCCCCTCGTCGCCGACGATGCCAGACACCCGATCCTCGACGGCGACGATGATCCTGGACACTCGGTTCCCGACGACGAGGATCCTGGATCCTCGATCCACGATCCAAAGGTCGGAGAAATAAGGAACCGAACTCCATACACGGGCACTTGTTCTGGCCCTGCACTGCAACTCGCCCAATAAAGCGAATCCTGTTGCATACGGGACCCTGGTGTGTATATATATATATATACAAGATTTTGATACATGATTGATGTATGAATGAATTTATGCATGAACTCATCGATGTGTTTAATACTGAATCCCTGCATGTTTAATACATGATCCGCACGCGGAGGACGTATAATAAACGGCACTTAATATATATATATATAGATATATGGATATTTCTTCCGCTTCCCCGGGGAAGGGGAAGAACAGGTATACACCACACCACCCCGACGTCGTCCCCGACCCTGGCAAAGTCCTGGGACGGAGCAGCCGCGCGCCACTGGCCGTGCACATGCCCCAGCTCCCGGAGAGGGGCGGGCAGCTCTCCCGCCCGGCTGGCATCCCCTCACATCGACCCTGCTATTCCTCCTCCTCCTCCTCCTCCTCCTCCTCCTCCTCCTCCTCTTCCTCTTCCTCCTCCTCCTCCTCTTCCTCCTCCTCCTCCTCCTCCTCCTCCTCCTCCTCTTCCTCTTCCTCCTCCTCTTCCTCCTCCTCCTCCTCCTCCTCCTCCTCCTCCTCCTCCTCCTGGGGCCTCCCCCAGGGCCCACGCCCTCTCCAGGGGGCCCTCCCCGCGCCCTCTCCAGGGGGCCCTCCCCACGCCTCTGCCCCTGGACCTGGGGCCCTCCCCAGGCCCATAGGAGGAGGAGGAGGAGGAGGAGGAGGAGGAGGAGGAGGAGGAGGGAGGAGGAGAAGGGTGAGGAGGAGGGTGAGGAGGAGGAGGGGGAGGAGGAGGAGGAGGAGGGGAGGAGGAGGAGGAGGAGGAGGAGGAGGAGGAGGAGGAGGAGGAGTGGGAGGAGGAGGAGGCGGACATCGACCCCCTGGGCCCTCCCCAGGGCCCACGCGGCCCTGACCCGACGGCTCGAGGCGCCCCCCGCCGTGGCGCCGAGAGGAGAGCCCCGGGAGGCCCCGAGAGGGACGACGGGCACGAGCGGAGGCCGCCGCCGTCCCGAGGGGCCCTCCACCGATCAGGACGCGCATGGAGAACCCGAATCCTCGGCGACGGCGGCGGCGGCACCGCATGTCCAGACTGCTCCCCAGGGTAGAGATAGCTGCCCGTCCAGGACCAGCCGCTCATGGCCCCGGGGCCGACTCCGGGGCACCGGAGGCCGAAAGCGAGGCAGGACGCCCCAGTTGGACACGTCTTGTCGTCGGACATCGGGGGAAATCCCAGATCCCCGCGAAAATCACAGGTCCTAGACTGTCGGTGCTGGCGGAGGCGCCGCTGCTCCGGAGGGGGGCCAACAACAATTATAGCGACACGCCGCCCATTGGAACTTGCCAGCGTGCTTCTCCTTCGCTCCCAAAATGGGAACGAAAGAGGTGGGCAAGATGCCCAGCAGCGATGTCCAAAACCGAAAGCGATCGCTGTTGAGCAGGCGACCTTTGGAATCAAGCGGACAGCGTCCGCGGCGATGCCGACGGTGAGTCCTGTTCCAAATTGGCAGGGGCTGCTGTCAATCTTCGTCCCATTCTTCCAGCACCGATGCCGATCGAATATGCCGAGGTGTGTCATTGATGCGGCAGGCTCCTGTCATGACGACGTCGGCCTCTCTTCCTGACACCGCGCGGGCCGTTCCGCCTCGGACGATCGCGGCTTACCGACAGCCTGGATGTTTCAGTGTCGGTCGATTCTGGGCCACCAGCGGCGTTCCACCTGGTGCGACAGGAAGGTACCACGCTGCCTAACCGCAAACGATGTCCAACATCGACAGCGGCTGCTGCTGAGCAGGCGACTTGTCAATCGAGTGGACGACGTCCGCGGCGCCATCGACAGCGAGCCCTGCTCCAAATGGACAAGAGCTGGTGTTCGTCCCAATTCTTTCCGTGCCCACTTCAATTGTAATGAAGGGTGTCGTTGATACTGAAGGAACCAAGAGGTACCGACTCCGCTACCACCCGGACCTCGCCCAAGGTGTGTCCTGACAAAACTCTCGAGGCGAATCTGGCCGTCGCGAAAAAGGCCTCCCAGGATTCCTAAAAGAGGCGAAAACGGGGTCAGAGCAGCCCAGCCTCGATACCGCTTCCCCCTCTGAAACTAGAGAAACAAAAACTGCATGAACATAAACTTTCGGAAGTTCTTGCGGCTTTCTTGGGTCGGCGCGGGATCCCCCCTCCCTGGCGCGCACAGAGCGCCACGGGCGGCGCCGGAGGCGCCGCCAGGGGGGTCCAACGATGATCCAGAAAATCCTGGCGGAACAGCGCGAATGTATGGTTGTGCCGTTTTGTTCCTCCTTCGTTTCCATAACTCTAGGCCCCCACCGCAAGCGCGCTCCACCACTCGCAAAGCCACGACTCGCACATGAGGCTGGATCCGCCGCGGAGGACCTACGCTCCAGTGCATCGAGGCAAACATATGCGTTTTCGTACGTTTGCGAGTGGGGACTTTGCGAGCACTTGTAAAGGAAAGAGAACTATGCACATACACCAGCTCTGACCAGGCCCATCCTGAGCACAGGATCGGTGCATATGCCCTCCCGCCTTGGCCAGGAACGCCTATGCACCGATCCTGGGCCCAAGATGGGCATGGCCTGAATCGATGCATGTGCACAGCTCTCTTCGCCCGACGTTGCACGCGCTCGGTGATTCTCCGGCCCACCGGACCATGGCCACGAGAGCGTGGCTCGAGAAGCGCGAGTCCTTTCCTCGAGGGCACGAGGCCCCGCGTGAGGGGCGGCGCCGAGACGAGCAGCGCTCCAGGGCGGGGAGCCCCTGCACGAAGCACAAGGAGCTGAGCAGGGACCGACCGTCCCGGCATTCCTGTAGCCCTACCACGAGATGTTCTCAGAGCCCCCAAAATGTTCTAAGAACAAAAGCAGCGTTCTTAGAACATGCACCCGATATGCTAAACCAAGACAGACTCCACCAGAAATGTTCTAAGAACATTTCGCGGAAACCACAGAAAGATTCTTAGAACAGTCTTTGGTGGGGCTGTAGGCGAGCCAGGACGCTTCGCCACTGCTTGAAGGAGGATCACGCAGCCTCGTCTCCATCAGTGAGAACCGTTGCACCGATCCCCATCCCCAGCGGCGTGGCCTGGGCCCCACTGGCCGATTTACCCCCCTGGATGGGGATAGAGGTCGTTCCCTTCGGGCTTCGAGGGGTGTATCCCCAACTGGGGTGGCAATCCGGTAGGGGTCTTGAAGGGGATGGGGATGGGGATGGGGATCGGTTAAACGATACCGAATCAGGGGGTTGCAGTGAACCGAAACTGTGCCCGAACAGCTGCCAGGGGGGGGGGCCGAAACGGGGGCCAAAAATTTCCCGACCGCGCCAGCGTGTGCCCGAAAATCTTGCTGCGAAAACAGAGCGATGTCTGATTTCGGTCCGAACTTCGGTCACGCTGTATACGTTTTCGGTTACAAATTCGGCAACGTGTTCGGTCACCGAGCCTTCCTGTCACACAAAACCTTCTCAAGTGATAGAGGCGGGGCTCCATGATAACGGGTACCCCTGAAATACCAGGCCTGGTGCGACAGCCATTTCGCCTATGACTTCCTCGCAAAGTGTTCAAGAATCATGCTCTCGCCTCACTGCCGACTGTATGTATGGTATGGACAGCCGCGACCCTGCATAGAGAAAATGCACAAAGGTGCGCGTGGCCGTGCTATCACCCCTCTCCCGCCTGTCAACGTTCCTAGGAATACCGAGGACTTCGTCGGAATACTTAGGAATGCACGTTTTCACTAGCGGACCTCCTACTCCTCGACACGCCTCTTCACCTTTGCTGCTACAGTTAACCGTGAAATAAGAACCCACGATAAGGATGCCAGGGCCTTGGAAGGCAATGTAGACACTCTGCGAGCGGGGAGCGGCCAGCGGAAGCGGCCCAGGCTGGGCCGAAGACAAAGGATGCGAGGGCCACTTTCAAAAAACGCTCATTCCTACTGTGCGGGTTGACTGCATCAGGGTGCTTTGCTGGGGCAATGTTTATACTGCTTTATCCTCCTGAAGATACTTGCGTTAGATGGGCGAAGCCGACTTAGCCCGCATCGTTACTCCCCCTAAGCCACGTGGGGCCATTTCACCCTGGCCTTAAGTCGGGCATGTCCTCCTACAGGCGGATTTTAAACGACAAATCAAGACTACCCAACAAATACCCGAACATACAGAAAAATAAAAGAATCGCACCCATATCATGTTTCCGGAGTTTTCATGGGGACATGCCCGATCTAACCATGGCCAGGTTCGGCCTGGCATCCACTGAAAACCAATAAGCCACCCATCCCCATTGGCAATCCCCGCGCCGGTCCCAAGATCCCCATCCCCAGTGGTTTTCAGGGCTGGACCTAAACGTTGTTGTTCGTGTTGCTTTCGTTTTGTTGTTCGTTTTGCTCTACGTATTTTCCTGTACATCCTTGCCAGCATGAAAAACAAAACACAGCCGAAATCCAGCAAAACAGCGGTTAGGTCCAGCGCTGGTGGTTTTCGGGCCACACCTCAGGCCTCCCATGGCCGTACGGACCAATCCGAGCACCCCTGGGACGCCCTCGGCCAAGCGCAAGCTGCTCGAAAGCATCCCGAGGTCGGAAAACCGCGCCAAGATCCGACGAGCCCTCCCGAAGCCCAACCTCGACCCTCGAAAACAACCGAAACCTCCCGCCCTCGTCCCAGCTGTACCCCCTGGCGCTCCAAAGGGCCGCGGACGAACGAGGCGCCCTGGCGACCGCGCCCGCGCCTTCTCCAGCGGCCCCGCCAATACATCGGCGATCTGGCGCGTTCTTCCGACCCATCCGTTCGGACCCCCTCTGGGGGGCCCAGATGCACCCCCTCCTCCGTCTCCGTTGCGGGCAAGATCTGTATCCATGTCCACGGCGTCTTTGTGTTGCTGACTGCCGTCCCCGGAAACCGAAGGCGCCGTGGATCTGGATAACGAGCTGGCTCCTAGAAGCTAGATTTATATTTCTATACACTGCGACCCGCGGCCTCCTGGCGCCCCTTCTCAGAGAAGTCCAAGAAAGACGCGGTGGATATGATATCCGCCGACGTGCCTGCGGCACGTTGTGGCGTGGACGAATGCCAAGGGCTGCCTGGCATGACATGTCGGTAGTCTTCCAAAAGACCCCCCCACCCCCTCTGTCACGCTTCCCTGGCTGAATCGCCCCTTTTCGCTGGGGGTCCCTGAGCGCCCATGGCTTTCGCCGAGGCTCTCCAAGGCATCCATGACGGCCCAGGAGACCCCAAGACTGTCGAAGAGGGCCCCGAGTCGCCGAACGATCGCTCCAAGACGGCAAACATGGCCTCAAGATGGCCCGAGAGGCTCCAAGACGCCCCAAGAGGCTTCCCAAGAGGGCCCCAAGAGGCAACAATCATTGATTTCTCTTGGGTTCTGAATTTGTTTGGTATTATCGACGCTCCAAAACAGCCCAAAGAACGGCGTTCGGCTTTCCGACGCTCCAGGGCGGCCCAAGAGGCCCCCAAGACCCCCCCCCGACCTAGAAGGCCCCAGAGAAAATCCCAAGACGGCCTGAGAACGATGTAGGACGGCCCGAAGAGGAACCCAACAGGATCCCAAAACGAAGAGAAGAAAAACGAACCGAAAACCCGAGCCTTCCGGCCCAAGAAGCCTCGACGAGTTCCCCAAGCGCCCAGGAGACCCCAAGAGGCCCCCAAAAAGCCCCACGAGGCCCACAGAAGCCCAAACGACGCCTCCTAGATGGGATCGGGATACATGGAGTCCGACAATCGCGCCGCATCACCGATACATCGGCGATGCATCGGCGATTTGTCGGCGGCGCACCGGCGACGCATCGTCGACGTCGGCGATGCATCGGGGACGTCGGCGCGAAGCAACTCGGGCCCCGCATCGGGCCCAGGAGACCCCAAGAGGCCACCAAAAGGCCCCCAAGAAACCCCCCCCCGGCCCTGCCCTCGATCGTCCCGGCTGCACCCCCCCGCGCCTCGAGAGGCCCCCGAGAAGCCCCCAAGAGGAGACTCGCGAGGCCCCCGCGCGAGGCCCTGCGAGGAACCTCCAAGAGGCCCCCAAGAGGCTCCCAAGAGGCCCCTCCCCTGCCCTGCCCTCGATCGTCCCAGCTGCACCCCCCGGCGCTCCACGGGGGCCGCCGACGAGCGGGGCGCCTCGGCGCCCGCGCCCGGGAGCTCCGGCACGTCGGGGCCCGCCAGGGCGCCTGGCGCGGCACGCGGCGGGGCCTCCTTCAAACTCTCTTCATATTCAAACTGTCTTCATATTCGAATTGTCTTCATATTCAAACCCTCTTCATATGATCACGTGGACAGAAGAGGGCATATCTGGGTCATGTGACCTCAGATGCGATTCAGTGGTACTCCGCTCCTGCGCCTGGCATCGGGAAGGGGGCAGCCTTCGTTTTGGCCGGGCATGCCCTCCTACAAGCGGATGGGCGACGAAGTGAACCGGCCCCAAACATATAGCAAACGCTATTTCATGTGAGGGAAAAAAACTCCCTATGTTTGAATATTCCTCCTGTGGAGGGACAGGCCCGATCTAACCCTATGCCGTTCCTGCGCCTGGGATGAGGAAAAAGAGGGTTGCTAAAAGGGACAAGGGGTGCCCAAATCTGCGACAATACATTTTTCCCGAATCAGCGCTTGCACTGGGGGGGTCCTGGCCGGCAGTGAAAGATCCGGCGACAATCCCGGGCCAATTTCGGTAGCCGGCTGGATTCCCGGGTTCCGGGCTCCAGGTTCTGGGCTGATTTCAGCTTCCCACGATCGAGCTCGCCATCGATCCCATGATCGATCTCACACCATCGACGGATTGGGCTTTTTCCCGGTGTCGGCCGCAGGGGGCCGCTCTCGGGCCCCGGGGCCAGCGGAGATCGCCCTGGGCTGCGGGGAACTGCAACCAGGCAGTCGATCTCGCGGCGTCGAAGTTGCTCAGGGGCCAGGCTCGAGGCTGTAGGAACTCTTCGAGGTTTGAGGTTGTCGGGCAGTTTCGTCGGCCCACGAGGCAGGGCTCGAGGCTGGAAGAACTCTTCGAGGCTCGAGGCTGTAAGATAAGGACTCTTCGAGGTTTGGGTCGTCGGGCAGTGTCGTCGGCCCAGGAAGCAGATTTTTACCGCCTCGGGATGCTCTCCAGCGGCTGCGCCTCGCCGAGAGGGCCCTCCAGGGGTGCCCAGGTCGGCCCGAGCGACTGCCAGCGGCCTTATACACATATACATATACATATACATATTATATATATATATATGTATTTATATATATATATACATACAAACATACATACATACATACATACATGCATGCATGCATACATACATGCATACATACATACATACACACAGACATACACACATACATACATACATACATACATACATACATACATACATACATACATGCATACATACATACATACATACCTACCTACCTACCTACCTACCTACCTACCTACATACATACATACATACATACATACATACATACATACATACATACATACATACATACATACATACATACATACATACATACATACATACATACATACATACATACATACATACATACATACATACATACGTACGTACGTACGTACGTACGTACGTACGTACGTACGTACGTACATACACACCAAAAAAAAACACGCGGGGCGCGAATGTCCAGATCGGCGCGGGGCGCACTGAGGGGGCGCCTTCTGCGACGCCATAGGACACATCGAGGCCTCCAGGAACGGACCCCCGAGGGAACGCTCCCCGCCCCCCCCGCCCCTCCCGCGCGCGGGAGGCGCCTTTCGGTCCCGACTGCGGGTGGACGGGCGCTTCGGGTCGAACCCCAACGCCCGCCTGCCCGTTCCCCTTGCCGCCTCCCGGGTCGCGCGGGGGCTGATCGAGGGCTCGTTAACTATCCTTCCCCCCCACGTCGCCGGGCCGGGCCGGGGGGGAGGTCCCGGTCTGGGGTTCCGCCTCGGCAAGGCTCGGCCACCCCTCCACTCTCCGGGCCCGACGTTCTCGCGGAGGCGGACCAGGGCCCGCTCGAGAATGTCCTGCGCCCGCGGGGGGGGGGCCCCCTTGGGCTTGGCTGGGAGGGTCCCTCCACCGCGCACCTCCCTGCCCTTTCCCCCAGCGGGGCCCTGGGTCGGGGGTTCCCCTGGCGGCGGAGTAACGGGCGACCCCCGGCGCGGGGCGCCCCTCCCCGCCCTCCCGTCGGGCTGACGTGGGTTCAAAGAGGGGATTCCCGAATGCTTCCGTCGCTCGTCTCCCGCGAGGTACCAACCAGGATCCTCAGGGAAGTAGCTCCCCGTGGCGGGCTCCCTCGCCGCAGCCGCCGCTGGGCGCGTCGAGGGCCCAGCCTCTGGGTCAAGCCCACCGGCGCGGCCAGACTCGCCTACTCGGCGAACGCCGCGGCCAGTGGGACAGCGAAGAAGCCCCCCAGGAAAAACATCGCAGACCTGGTGGGCCCCGAACGGGATTATGGGCGTGCCCACATCCGAAAAAGGAGAGCGCAGTCTGCACCAAGAAGGCCGCGGAGGAGCTGAATAGAACTGTTATGGGGTCCGATGTATAACATAAGCAATCATGATGGGGTTGATTATGAGGATGATGACGATGATGATGATGATGATGATGATGATGATGATGATGATGATGATGATGATGATGATGATGATGATGATGATGATGGAGATGGATATGATGATGTTAATGTTGATGAGGATTGGGATGGTGCTGGTGATGCTGATGATGATGGCGAGAATGGTGGCGACAATGGTGCTAATATGATGCTGGTGATGATTCGGCTGATGTCGGTAAATATTGGCATTGCGCACGATTATGGTGGAGCTGATGGTACTGATAATGCTGCTGCTGATGGTGATAAAGCAAATGCTGATGAGTAGAAGCCGCGAAGATGAGGATGATGGTGACGATGGGCATGATGGTGATGCCGAGACTGCTGTTCATGATGGTGCCGATGGAGATAGTGATGATGGCAACGGGGTGCTGATGCTAATGAAAACGATGCTGATGTTGTTCATCATGATTTTGATGTTGATGATGATGCTGATAGTGGTGGTAATGGTGAAGAAGATGGTGATGCTGGTGATAGTAATGATCACGATGACGATGAGAATGCTGATGCTGAGGCTGACGATGAGCGTGCTGAGAATGTCGATGATGATGCGCCTATGACGAAGTACAAGATGATGATGATGATGATGATGATGATGATGATGATGATGATGATGATGATGATGATGATGCCGATGCTGATGAGGATGCTGATGATGGTGATGCTGACGATGCAAGACATGATGCTGGTGCGGATTATGATACTGGTGATGCTGGCGATGCTAAACATGTTGATGATGATGATGATTATGATAATTATGATGATGAACATGACGATACGGATGATGCTGCTGATGCCGATCCGGATGCTGCTGATGATGACGACGACGATGACGAAGATGACGACGATGGTGATGATGCTTGATGGTGGTGGTTTTTATCATGATGTCAACGATGATGATGACGATGCTGATGATGATGATGCTGTCGATGGTGACGTTGATGATGATGATGATGATGATGATGATGATGATGATGACGATGGCGATGATGCTGAAGGTGTAGAAGATGATGATGATGCTGATGATGATGATGATGATGTTAGTGATGGTGATTGCAATGCGTGTGATGCTGATGTAGGTAATGGTGATCATGATGATGATGCTGATGATGATGGTGATATTGGTGATGATGATGGTGATGCTGATGTCGATGCTGCTAAACATTGTGTTGACGATGAAGATGCTGATGGTGACGACGATGATGACAATACTCATGATGATGATGATGATGATGATGATGATGATGATGATGATGATGATGATGCAGATGACGATGATGATGCTGATGATGACGACGAGGATGATGACGATCCTGATGATGCGGAGCATGATGATGCTGCTGATGATGATGCTGATGATGACGGTACCGATGATGAACATTATGACGATGAGTGCGATGATGATGCTGCTGATGACGTCTTTGCTGGTGATGACGATGATGCTGATGATGATAATGCATGCTGATCATGCGCCACGCTTGAGGACGATTACCTAGGCTCGCATAGCACAAAGAGACAAAGACGGAGACAGGTGGGTCTCTTGCCTGGGGTGCGTTCAAGGGGCATGATTCACCGATCTCTAAACCAAATTCGAAAGGGTCAACATTAACCTTTTCGTCAAACTCGGCCTCGACCGCCACCTCTTCATCCCAGACGGGAGGAGGCGAGGGAGGAGGGGGAGGCAGGAAAGGGGTGGAGGTCGAAAGAGTAAGGCGCGAAAGCTGGGTCTCAGAGAACCCCCTTGACCGATGGGGCAGGGGACTGATGAGGGCACGGTGATGATGCTGCTGATGGTGATACTAAAACTGCAATGATGATGCTGCTGCAGCTGAGGACGAGGAAGCGGAGGAAGGAGGAAGCAGAAAAAGGAGGAGGGAGGAGAAACAAAGACAGGGAAAGGAGGAGGAGTGAGGAGGTGCTGTGGGGACGGAGGGAGGAGGGAGGAGGGAGGAGGCAGGAGGGAGGAGGAGGGAGGAGGGAGGAGGGAGGAGGGAGGAGGGAGGAGGGAGGAGGGATCGGCGCTCGCGGATGCTGGTCGGCAGCTCTGGCAGCACAGAATCACCCTCGTGCGTGACGCTCCGACGAGCGCCTATGCCCAGGTCGGGCATGTCCTCCTGCGGGCGGGATCTTGGGCGACAGCTGAAGCAGAGCCAAAACGTGCTCAACACTGGCCGCAAACGTCATCCCGATGCCACTTCTTGGGACTGCGTTTGCATTAACACGTCCTCCTCCCAGGTCGGGCGAGAGGGGGGATAGCAAAGGGGGGGGTTTGAGAATCAGCTCGCGTAATTAGCTGATTCTCCCGGCGCCTCCCGGCGCCTCCCGGCACCGAGGAATGGGCCCCCAGCGGCGGGGCCGAGGCCGGCTGCATGCAGCAGATGTCGTACCCCCCCCCTTTCCCTATCCCCCCCCTTTCGTTCGGCCCGATCCTCTAGGAGGAGGAAGAGGAGGAGGAGGAGGAGGAAGAGGAGGAGGAGGGGGGGGAGGAGGAGGAGGAGGAGGAGGAGGAGGAGGAGGAGGAGGAGGAGCCCCCTGCGCGTCGCCTCGACCTCGCGGCGCCGGCCTGGTCGGGGGCCGCGCGCGGAGAAGGGGCGCCTGCGGGCAGGCACGCGGCGGCGGCGGCGCCCTGCGGCGCAGGGCCGGGCGCGGCGGCGGCGGGCCGCTCCGGCACGTCGGGCCCGCGCAGCGGGGCACCGCCTCAAGGGGGGGGGGGGATTGGCGGCGCGCACCAGGGGGTGGAGGGAGGGGGGAGGGCCCCTTAGCAGGAGGCGGCGTCTCAGAAGGCGCTGGCCTCACACCCATCGAAGAGGCCCACGCCTTCCGAGAAGCAGGGGTGCTTCCGAGAGGCCCTCCCCCCTCACCCTCCTCCTCCTCCTCTCTCCTCCTCCTCCTCCTCCTCCTCCTCCTCCCTCCTCCTCCCCTCTCCTCCTCCTCCTCCTCCTCCCCCTCCTCCTCCTCCTCCCCCTCCTCCCCCTCCCCCTCCCCCTCCTCCTCCCCCTCCCCCCGCCCCCCTCTGCGCGTGGCTGCGGGGAGGGAGGGGGGCAGAGCCGCCGAGGGGAGCGGCAGAGCGCAGCGCCCGCAGAGGCGCCTCCCGGGCGGGTCCCCGAGGTGGGCGGGGCTCGGAGGGCTGCACCGCACCGGCGAGGCCTCGGCGAGGCCTCCGCGACGCCTCGGCGATGCCTCGGCGACGTCTGCGTGGAGACGAAAGCGGGCTCCGCATGGAGCTGCATCGCCGATGCCTCGGCGGTGCGGCGCGATCCTGCGACCCCATCTGCTACGTGCTCCGACCCCGTCGGGGAGGCCTGGGACCCGTGGTCCTCGTTTTCCCTCCCTCCTCCCTCCTCCCCTGAGATCCTGGCGTCCCAATGTTGTCGAGGCTGGCAACGTCACCCGATTTCAGGCCCAGGACCCTCACAGATCGATGCGGCTCGATCATTGGCGCAGGAAGATGAGGTCTGGGGCTCTGGTCGTAATGGTGCAGGATGCTGCAACTTTGTCGCGTCGTCGGATCTCAGGGTCTCTCATCCATACCGCCGGCAAACAAGAGAGCAGAGCAGCACCAATGGCCCGACGAGCGGCAAACATGTCCGCATCCGCGCCCTCGCGGTCTGGATGCTGGGGCGCGACCCCGCGGATCCGCGGTCGCACGAATGCGTTCCGCGCGGGGCTTCCGCGAAAAAGCGCGCCCCGTATCCGCAGGGTCGCGGCCCGGGGTCCTGGCCCGTGAGGCCGCACACGCGGATACATGTGTCGCCCACGACCGATGGAGTGCCTCCAACGGAAGACATGTGGCGACCGAGGACCTAACAAACTGGAAAATGACGGACCGGGCTTTCGTGAGCCACTGCAGGGGCACGGCAATCTATGCGGTCCTGCGGGGGGGAGGAGGATCGGGAGCGGCCAAGAGAGGGGCGTCCAAGAGGGGGGGGTGTAAATCATGGCCGGCGGCATGGGCGCGGCACAGGAGGGGGGGGCAGGGACGTAATGGAATAAGAAGGGGCGCCATGAAATCTGGGAAATCCCACGCCATGATATCCCCCCCCCCCTAGTCATCACTCCCCTCTTTGCCGCCCCCGAGAGGAGCATGAGGAGAGCGAGTCCGGGAAGTAGGGGGGGAAGCTCGAGCTTCGAGGGGTCGGGCTTCGCTCTCTGGCGGTGTCTGACAGTCCTGGGGCGCCCTCGTGGCCACGGCTGGACGTGCATCGAAATCACCCGCAGAACGCACCCCAGGAGAGTCCCAGGGATCGACATTTGACCCCTGATCAAGCAACATGCTGCTGTTGTTGTTATTGTTATTGTTGTTGTTGTTGTTATTGTTATTGTTGTTGTTGTTGTTGTTGTTGTTGTTGTTGGCTCCGGGCGACTTCCCTCGAGTTCGGCCCCTTGGGCCCGCGATTCGGGCCCTGGAGCCATCGACACGGATCTGGGGCAAACAACTGCTGGGCGCATTGGGAAATGAGGGGGGGCGTAGGAGGAGGAGGAGGAGGAGGAGGAGGAGGAGGAGGAGGAAAAGAAGGAGGAGGAGGAGGAGGAGGAGGAGGGGGAGGAGGGGGAGGAGGAGCAGGGGGAGGGGGAGGGGGAGCTCCTCCTCCTCCTCCTCCTCCTCCTCGTCATCTTGGAGGGTTCACAGACCTCCACGCTCCAGGCTCCAGGAGGAGGAAGAGAAGCAGGATGAGGAGAAGGAGGAGGATGAGAAGGAGGAGACGGCGGAGGAGGAGGAGCTGGGCACGTTGGAAGGAGGAGAAGGCGAAGGAGAAGGAGAAGGAGAAGGAGGAGAAGGAGGAGGAGACGAAGGGGGCGCGAAGCGCATGATTGAACTCAAACTGGAGCGCAATGAGCTTGGTACGTTTGAAGCAAACTGCAGCGCAACGCACTTGATTGAAGTGAGCTGGAGCGCAAGCGCTGGCATCGCAAAACGCTGGGCAAAAAAAACAACAAACAACGCGATGGGGGCAGACATAACGCAACAACATAGAACAACGTGGCTGACCAAACAAAATCTGGAATCGCAGCGCGTTTTCTTTTGCAATTTGTAGAATTACATGAGTTAGAGTGGTTGAAGATAGGGGGAAGTGGGGGAAGTTAGGGGATACAGTGGTGTAATATAGGGAAAACTAATTTCCAAAAAATAAGCGAAACATAACAAACATGTGAAACGCTATCTTCCACAGCTTCCATCTAACTTCCACATCTTCAACATAACTACCATAACTTAGTTAAGATCATATCAGTAGATTCCTCCTGTAGAGGGACGCGCCCGACTGGAAGGCTACGGGCAAGCCAAGACGCCTCGCCACTGCTTCCCCCCCCCCCCCCGACGTAATGTTTTTGTTCGTTACGTCGACCCCCAGAGGTCCCGACCCTCTCCCCTTGACCGGCTCTGCCCCCTGAGTCGTTTTCTGACACCCCCGAAGCCCAGCGAGGGCCCCCGGAGGCCGAAAATCCCACCAGCCCTCTGGGCGTAGGTGGTCTAGAGCAGATCCTCTTCCACCCCTCCCTCTTCCCCCTTGGGGAGGGGTTTACCCCTCCCCCTACCCCCTCCCCTGGACCTGGACGGGGGGGGCCGCGGGTAGTTAGAGCGTCCCAGATGGCCCAAGACGGCTCCAAGAGCGCCTCAGAGAACCCAAGATGAGCTCCAAGATGGCTCAAGATAGCGCAAGATCGCTCGAGATGGCTCCTAAGATGGTTCCAAGAAGCCCAAAGACGGCCCCAAGATAACTCCAAGTGGCCAAACAGCTCCCCAAGGAGGCCCCGAAGAGGCCAAAATCGTCCCAAAACCTAAGGAAAATCAATGATTTTTGCTTTCTCGCCTTTTCGCTTCCGATGGCCATCCGAGGCCTGGAGATGGTTCCAAGATGGCCCAAGAGGGCCCCAAGAGAGCCCCAAAAGAGCCCCAAGACGGCCCCAAGAGCGCCCAAGAGCACTCCAAGAGCGTTCCAAGAGGGGTCCAAGAGGCGATTTTAGGGGCTTCCGAGGGGGGGCGCTAATTGAACCCCCCCTCTTGTTTGATCGATCTCCTCCAAGATGGCCCCAAGAAGCGCCCAGGAAGCCCCAAGAGGTCCCAAGATGGCCCCAAAATGGCCCCAAGAGGCCCCCAAGAGGCCCCCCGGAGGCCCCCAAGAGACCCCCAAGAGGCCCCAAGAGCCCCCCCAGATGCACCCAAGATGCTCCAAGAGGCCTCGGCGAGAATGCCTAATCATTGATTCTACACAGGTTTTAGCCACATGGAGGCCTCTTGGGGGGGGGCACGGATTAAGATGACTCCAAGAGCGTCTGGGAGAGCCCAAAATGACCTCCAAGATGGCTCAAGATATCCCAAGATGTCTCATAATGGCTTCCTCTGTGTGCTGCCCACTTCTCTGATCGAGGCAATTCCTCTGGGCATCGTTTCTGGATGGGCTGGTGGGGATTCGCGAAGCGACAACAATTCAGAAAACCTCCCGTCCTGATTGTTTCAGTACTCAAGGGGGTCTGGGGGCGACCCGAGGAGGAGGAGGTGGAGGAGGAGGAGGAAAAGGAGGAGGCGGAGGAGGAGGAGGAGGAGGAGGAGCTGGGGAGGAGGAGGAGGAGGGAGGAGGAGGAGGAGGAGGAGGAGGAGGAGGGGTCTGGGCCCGGACTCTCCACCTGCCCCGCGGCAGGGCCTCCCGGCTCGCCCGCGCCCTGCCGCGGCGGTGCCGCCGGCGCGGCGCCGGGCGAGGCGGCGCCGCCCGCCGGCGGCGGGGCGGCGAGGGCCTCCCGCGACGACCGACCCGACCCTCCTCCTCCTCACCTCCTCCCCCTCCCCTCCTCCTCCTCCTCCTCCTCCCTCCTCCTCCTCCTCCTCCTTCCCCTCTCCCCTCCTCTTCCCCCTCCCCTCCTCCTCCTCTTCCACCTCCCCCTCCTCCTCTCCTCCTCCTCCTCCTCCTCCTCCTCCTCCTCCTCCTCCTCCTCCTCCTCTTTCTCCTCCTCCTCCTCCTCCTCTTTCTCCTCCTACCCCAATCTGACCCGAGGGCTCGAATTTGGACCTGGGCGGCCCGGAGCGCTCTCGGCAAAGCGCAGCTGCTAAAGAGCACCCCGAGGTGGTCAGACCGCCGGGATCCGACAAAGACGCCCGAAGGCCTCAGGCCTCGTGCCCGTCGTCCCCCCCTCCCCCAGCGTTGCCTCTGAGTCGTGGAGACGTCTCAGGAGTGACGACCTACCAGACCACCCCAATCTAGCCCGAGGGCTCGAATCCCACCAGCCAGCCCTTTAGGGTTGAGTCGGGCCTGTCCCCCTACAGGCCGATTTTGAACGACAAATATTTTAAACATGCCCCCAAACATGCCCAAACAATGCTCAACAATGGTCAACAAAATAGTCCCCACACTATGTTTTGACCATTTTTGAATGTTCCCCCTGTAGAGGGACCGGCCCGACTTCACTTTCGAGCGTAGGTGGTTCAGGGTGTTTCTTCTTCCACCCCCTTCTTCCCCTTCGGGGAGGGGTGTTGCCCCTCCCCCTTACCCCCTCCCCTGCACCTGGACGGGGCGTTTCGCGAGCGGTCGGAGCGTCCAAAACGGCCTCGGCGAGGAAGCCACGCCCGCTGGCGGCGGGGCGGCGAGGGCCTGTCGTGACGACCTACTACCCCGAAGGGTCGAATTTCGGGTGGGGGGGGGGTGCGGGTTCCACACCTGCTTTTGTCCAGTGTTCCCCCGGCGCCTCCCCCACCCTGGAAGCGGAGAGCGAGTCGGGGCCCTCGGGGCTTGGTCTGGGGTGGTTGATGGTGGGCGGTGCTCTCGCCGCCGGGGCCGGTGGAGCATCGGACCGGGAGGCCCACGGGGATATCTGCGCGGGGCGTTTGCTTTGTTCACGGCAGACGAGCCCATAAGCCATGCACGCAAACGGCACCAACACAGACGGAACCGACACAGAATACAGTCGGGGCCTTCACCTAATGAGCCCAAAATAAGAAACGAGGCCCCTGTTTTACATAAGTTGAACCTCGATCCAGGGCAAATCCAGGGCAAGCTGCGCAACAATCAAGGGACACGGAGCCCCATCCCCAACGAAAAGGGTTCCTTAGTTGTTTTACAATGCTCTTTGGGCTTTCCCGAGGTTTTCCATTGAAACATCGGAGGTCAACTTCTGGGAAACAGGGGCCTCGTTCCTTATTTGTCGTTCCTTAGGTCAACGCCCCGACTGTGCGGGAGGGCCGCGGGGACTGCTGAGCGGTGGACTGCTGAGCGGCGCCGTGGGGCTCGTAGTGGTGCGGTGGGCCCAGGTCTGGCTATGCCCAGGTCTGGCCACCGCGGTGCCGAGCTCGTGGGGCGGGCTCCGTCGCCGTCGTCTCGCCGTCGTCGTCGTGAATGCATGCATGACCACGTGGGTTCGCCTACTCGAAGAGCTAAAAAACCCCAAAAAACAACCACAAAAACGCCCCGACGGTAGGCCAACAGCCGCGAGGGACAGCCTGGCCGAGGGGCTCCGCGCGGGGTGTGCGGACGCCGCCCCGCCCACAGAGAGGCTCGCGCGGAGGCCGGGCCCGCTCTCTCCGGAGAGGCCGGTGGCCGCCACGGGGGGCGGCGCGCAGCTCTCGGCCACAGCTGGAGCTGCCGGGGAGCCCCTGGCAGACCGCACCCCCGCGGAGGTCCAAGGGGAGCGGTGTTTCACCTTCTTGAAGGGGCCCTGGGACACACAAATAAAGACACACAAATAAAAAGATTCCCCATATTTTCCCATATTTTCTGGGTTTCTGTCTTCCCGCCCAATTCCCATATTTTCCCATATTTTCCTGGGAGTCGACGATGAATTGTGTCTGTGTGTTTTTTTCCCTCCTGATTCTTTCGGGGATGGACAGACCCCCCTTTAGTAAAACGTGGTTTAGTGAAAACGACCGGAGGCCCAAACCTGGCGGGCGCACGCCTGGAAAATGACGACCGCGGCGCCCTCTCGAGCACCGAACACGGACAATTCACCAATCGACGTGTCACTGTTGGGGGTTCTGTCCCCCCCCGATTCTTTTTTCTTTCTCGGGAGGCTTCAGGGGCGCTGAGGCTTCTTGGGCAACTCTAGGGGTCCCCAGACGGCTCCGTGAAGAACGGTCGTGCCTCGGTGCGAGCAGCTCCGTCTCGGGCAAACGGCAAAAGAGGCCGAGCTACGGCCGTAGCTCCAGCAGCTCTATCTGGCCGAGTGAGTGTCATGCGTGATACTTTCTCGCCGAACAAAAACATCGACTGCGGCGGCACCTGTGGATTGCCCTACAGGGTCAGGGAGCGGTGTTTCAGCCCTGATCAAGCAATCTGTGTTTCTCGTTCTGGACGATTTCCCTTGGGCCCGTGATCGGGTCCCAGAGCCATTGCTAACGGATCTGGGGCGAGAAACTGGCTCCGGTGGGATTGGCGCGGGGCTTGCTGAGGGGACGGGGGGCTGATCAGTGGATGACAGAGAGGATTATCTGGCCAACCCTTGCGTATCAGTGGTTTGCAGAGGCCCCAAGTGGCTCGGGGGGGCGAGCGATCTGAGCTACGTGGGCTCCGTCTACTTAATCAGCAGAGTTTTCTAACCCCTCTTAGCTTGTGGGCACTTGCGGCCCACTTAACCCTGTGCCCCAGATGATCAGTAAGGGTAGGGATAATAAAGTTCGAAGCTCTAGAGGGATAATAAACTTTCCACGGCAGGTCGCAACAGAAATGAAGAGGAGGATGAGGAGGAGGAAAGAACGCAACAGCTTGCAGCTAAGGTCGGTCTAAAGTAAAAGGAGGAGGGGGAAGAGAAGGCAGAGGAGGAAGTGGAAGAACGGAGTCTTTCGGAATATACGGAGGGGAGGGGAAATGGGAGGGGGAGGGGGAGGAGGGGGAAGGTGAGGAGGAGGGGGAGGAGGGGCAGCAACAGGAGCAGGAGCAGGGGGGAGAAGGAGCCCCTCTGGGGCCACGAGCCGTGTGATGATGATAATGATGGTGACCGCCGACCAAAACTGTCCTGGCCGGAGGTAATCATGAGGCGGGTGGGAAGCTTGACTATCCGGGGCACGGGGTTATACTCTACAGGTTCGCTCACATATGTGTTAACCGACTTGTCCCCCGTAAACCACCTAGGCATCCACTGGTAACCCCCCCTGTCCCCTTTTGCGATCCCCGCGCCCATCCCAGCAGACCTCCGCAGACATAACGACAATTTGTTTTCGCTATGTTTGGCCTCCGGACGCCCTTGCCGGGCCTCGGGGCCGATAAACAACTACTCAGGATGAAAAGCCCGCTCTGGGGAATCTTCGGTATCTCCGAGGCTATGATTTGTTCACTATGGGCGTGCCCCCTCGACTTCGGACCCGGGCGCTCGTTATACCGGGCCCTGGAACGTCATCAACAAGCAGTGGCGAAGCGTCTTCCGGAAGGGGTCCAGACCTCTGGGAGTCCGCGTGGGGGCGGTCAGAAACATCGGGTCGGGAAGGCCGGGGCCCCGCCACGAAAACGATGTGGTTGTTCCAGTCTGGGCGCTGTTCATCAGTGTCGGCCCCCGGGGCCCCCGTTCACGGACACGCCGGGAGTGCCAAGAATCGAGGAAAAACAACTATGCACATGCACCGATCCTGGACAGGCCCGTCCTGAGCCCAGGATCGGTGCCCACGCCCTCCTGCTTTGGCCAGGAGGGCATTTGGGTCCAGGATGGGCCTTGCCAGGATCGGTGCATGTGCATAATTCTCTTCGCCCGAGATTAAGAATGTGTTTGCCCAACGGCTCGACCACCAAAGCCCCATCCACAGGTTCCGAAAAGATCGAAGGGCGGACGGCCGCGGTCAGAGGTGCAGGGGCCCTGGGACACACAAATAAACACACACACAAATAAACAGATGCCCCATATTTTCCCATATGCTTGGGGTTTCTGTCTTCCCCCCCACTTCCCATGTTTTCCTTTATGTTCTGGGGGATCGACGATTCAGTGTGTCTGTGTGCATAATTCTCTTCGCCCGAAGGAAGAGCCGTCCGACGCGGAAAACTACCTCCCCCGGCGAGTGGCCGGATCCCCTGGGGGCCGCGGCTGGAGAGCGCCAGGCCGGCGAAAGCCAGGCAGGGCACGGGGGCGACGCCCCCAGGCTGAGAGGAGCCTCCGCTGCCGTCGCGTCGTCAGCGTCGTCCGCGACGGCGGCCCCTGCCGGCGATCGCTGCGCGATCGAGTGGCGATGCACCCCACCCTGGGCCTGTCCCCCCCAGTGCTGCGCGGTTGAAGGACGAGGCATCCCACCCTGAGCCTGGTCAGCGAGCACTGCGCGATTGAGGGGCGAGGCAACCCACCCTGAGCCTGTCCCCCCCAGTGCTGCCCCTGGCGGGATCGAGCAAGCGTCGGCCTGGGAAAGCAGGAGGGATCGGAGGAACTGGGACCTTCTTGACTCCTGGCAGTCCGCCATCCGGGAATTTCTCGCGGCAATCGCTGCCTATGAAAGCCGATCGTGGGCCTCTTGGATGGTCTTCGTGGCCACGGCTGGACGCAGCTGGAAAAACTGGTAAGGGGGGACCCCGTGGGAGGGGCCGGGGACAGGCGTGGAGCGGATGTCGAACCTGGGCAGGAGCCACCAAGACCGAATCGGGCAGTCGGGTTGGATCGCGACGCGGGCCGGATCGGGCTGCAGCGGCACGGGAGCCGAGATCAGGGCAGCATCGGCTGCACCCTGATGCACAGCGGCGCCGGAGTTCAGAACGTCGTGATTTATTCAGAACGTGCACCCCCAGAGGACTGGACATCTTGCACAGGGGGCGACTTTTCAACCAGAGCCGTGCCTTGACGGTCCCGAGGCCAGGCGAGGGTCCTCAAAGGTCAAACATGCAATTCGGACACATGTTGTGTCTTCTGTTCACCAGAATCGGCGCGGGGGTCGCCAAGGGGATAGGTGGTTATCAGTGGATGCCAGGGAGGGTTATCTCTGGCTAACTGTGCTAGGAGGGCGGGACCCACTTAACCAGGATCGTGAACACCACCTGAACCACTTGGGGTATTCGTAACCCGCTAGGTTCAGCCAAATATGACCCACCTTGACATCCACTGATGAACCCCCCATCCCCTGAGCACCCACCGCGCCGATCCCGGCTGGAATCGAATCGGGTCAGACAGACCGAACTCGGTATCGAATCGTACTGGTCGGATCGAGGTGGAACCTTTGAACAGGCCAAGGTTATTCTGAAGATCTGCGGTTATAAATCTTACGATTCAGATTCCAATTCGTTCCTCATCATGTCATATTTCGCTCGTCGCCGTCTCCGCTCTGGATCGGTCTCCGTGCTCGTCGGTCTGAAGCAGTTGGTAGAAACATGAAGTAGGAAGGCGGATAAAGTACATTGGGTTCAGGCCCTCCTAGAGAATAACAGGACACAGCAAAAGCAGATCGAGTCTAGCAGTAGCAAGGCGCTAGAAACAGATACAGATCTGAGAGTCCACGAACACCTACTTTCAACGACCGACCGGCGTGCAGCGGCGCCGTCGACGCCGTCGTCGCCGCCATCATGGAGACGAAGATTGCAAACGCCCATCGAGAAACGGGAACCGCTGATAGCGCCCCGTACGCGCCGCCGAGCTGGTCCCGAGGCTGCCCCCTCTAGAGGGGGCAGCCTCCCGAAGCACGCCGGAACGAGGAGCCTCCGAGACCGTCGTCGCCACCGTCGTCGCCGCGGCCGACGTCGCCGCCGCCGCCGTCGGCGACGTCGACGGCGCCGACGCCGCGCCGACGGCGGTGTCGGCTGAGCGGGGGCGATCGGGGGTGACCAGCTCGGGGGGCGCATCAGAAACCTGGAGCGGGTGACACATCGCCGATGGATCGTCCATCGGCCCCCGGTGGCAGGTCCACAGGTTCCCGGCGAGGCGGGCTATCGGGCCCCCGTCGGCATCGGAGCTCGATGCAGGTTGCCCCATTTCGCCAGTCCCCCCTGAACGTTGCCCCCGATCAAGGGCCAGCGCTCTATCCCTGGACTTATGTTGTTCCCATCCTACGTAAGGACCACATCCCAGAAATCATTTCGAGCGCCCGAAAAGGTGTCGAAAGAGTGTTGAAACAGTGTCGAAACAGTGTCGGGCGACTGTCTCCCAGGGCCCGACACGTGAAAACCCTTGAGTTTCGGCACTTTTCCTGGCGCTCGAAATTCTTTCTGGTGATCCAGGCTAGAGTGGGTTGGAGCATCGTAACCCTGGACCTCTCCTGGGGCGCGTTCTGGCCAAAACTTCGAGGCGGACCCAGCAGTGGCCACTAGGGTGCCCCTGGACAACCAGAACCCCCTGGAGAACGAATCTCGACTCCCACAGGAGCGCGGGGCGGCCTCGTAGAAGGGCCAAGTCTTTCAATCGTGCGGTCACTGCAGATCCCTACTGTCTCCGTGGTAGCCTCTTACATACAGTCCGAGGAGATGGCGTCGGAAGATCGTGCCGAACCGCCAATTCATCGCCGATGCATCGGCGACGTCGGCGATGCGTTGGCGCCGTCGGCGTGGAGACAACCGGGCCGTACATCGAGCCGCATCGCCGATGTATCCGCGATGCTGCGCGATGCCCCGACCCGATGCTGGGAGGCCCCGGTAGGCAACCGAATGTGAACCCTACACCTGCATGCCAGATGTCAGAAAAACTGGCCGAGGTTCAGCAAGTAAAGGACGTCTGCAACCACGTGAACGCCAGCGGGGGTGTTCGATAACCATGGAAGGTCTTTAGGACCCTCCATGAGGGGGTAACTAATTAGCTGTTCGGCGGCCTTATTGACGGACTGGGAACCCACCAATACGGGGTAACTAATTATTCTTTTCCGCGGCACCCGCCACGCAACAACGACGACACCAGCTACAACTACGATTCGACTACACCTACGACGAGTACTACGACTACGAGCGCTTCATGAGGAGATTTCAGGACCAATCTGATTTACCGCCGAGAGAAAAGGGGGAAACCAAAACTAAAGACCTTTAGCGGTTACTCCAGCGTCGACTGGAGCCCGCAGGGGTTGGTCTCGCTAGCGGTCGCAAACTGGACTCACCACACGGTGCTGTTCTCCCGAAGGGAACGAATCGCAACGAAATGTGGCCGCCTGTCTGCTGGACCGTTCCGCTGCTGGAGTAACAAGGGCGGAGGACGCCGAGAGAACGAGGGAGAGGATGAGGAAGAGAGGCCCGAGAGGGGGAAGCGACGACAACAGAGAGACGACTCCGAGGGGAAGAGGAAGGAAAGAGGAGGCGGCAAATACACAGGGACCATACGCAAAGAGGAGAATGACAAGAGCGGGACATCAGAGGAACAGCTCAGTGCATCAGAGGTGAGGGGGCGGGATCGCAGTGAAACGAAGACACCACCGGGAACTCGGCTTCGGTGTCTGTGCTCGTGCCGTGCGTGCGGGCGAGACGAGGCTGCGCGGGCGGGCGCGAGAATGCACCCTCCTCTGGCTATAGGGCGCCGCCGGGCCATGAGGCCGTCCCCTCCCCGGGGTTGGGCGGCGGTGGCCAGGGATGTCCCGCCGTGGTTTCCCGATGGTGTGTCTTCTGGTGTCCTTTGGTGTGCCGTGGTGTCCCGATGGTGTTCCGTTGGCGTCCCGTTGGCGTCCTGGCAGTGGCCCGTAGTGAGATCGATAGTGACATCGATAGTGGCATCGATAGCGAGACCGATAGCGACATCGATGGTGAGCTTGATAGCAGGGTCGGCAACCAGTGAGAGCGAACGCGGAATCGGCAGCGAGATCGACAACGAGACCGACAGCCCGATCGAAAGTGAGATCACTGGTGAGATCGATGGTGAGATCGATGCTGAGACGGATCTAAGGAGACGTGGGTTCTTCCTCCCCCCGAACCTCCGGATCACTCGAGGGATGGTCATATATGAAGGGAAACTGGGACACACAAAAAATACACACAAATAAAAATATTCCCCATATTTTCCTATATTTTCTAGGTCTTTGTCTTCCCCACCACTTCCCATATTTTCCCATATTTTCCTGGGGATCGACGATTCATTGTGTCTGTGTGTTTTTTCCCTTCCTGAATATAGGCAAGTGTAAACTGTCGGAGGTCCGAGCGGGCTCCTTGGATCTGCGCTGGCCTCCCCTCCCTGGCGCGCGGAGCGCGCCAGGGTCGGCGCCGCCAGAGGGGTCGAGCGCATACCCAAAGAGATCTGAGCAGACTGTCAAAAGTGTACGTATGTACTGAAGGAAGCAGAAGAGTCCTCCCTCAGAATGAACATCCCGACAGTGGAAGCCGTTCAGAAAAAACGAACCCAGGGAAGGAATCGAACATGGCAGGGCTGCTCAACAAACGCCCAGGGCCATTCCGGAAACGCCACTTATCGGGGTCGGAGTGGCTTTCCATCCCTTGATGTATGCCGTTTTCTGTTCCTCAATAAAGAGCCCCAGGGACACACAAATGAACAGATACGACCCCCTGGATTCCCAATAATATGTTATATATTTTCTAGGTTCACGTCCCCCCCCCCACTCCCCAGAGGTTCGATATCTTCCTGGGGTTCGACGATCATTTGTGTCTTTGTATTCCCCCGATTCAAAACAAACCGCACGGGGTAGTTTGAGCAGGGGCCGACCGTTCCAGCGTTCGCATAGGCCTACCACGACATGTTCTTAGAACTCAGAACTGCTCTCATATAAGCATGAACATCAACCCAATGTGTTGAAACAAAGCAATGCCAGCCAGAAATGTTCTAAAAACATTTCGTGCAGACCAGAAAGACGTTCTTAGGCCAGCAGGACAGCCAAGACGCTTCGCCACTGCTCGAGGGGAGTCACTCTGCCGTGCCTGGGAGCCCCCCGGCGCTGCCCCCCCGCGGCGGCGGCGGCACCCCGAGAAAGGGCCTGGGCCCGGGCCGAGGCAGGGCAGGCCAGCGTGGCGCGCGCGCTGCGCCCCAGGAGCTCCAGCTGCCCCTGCAGCTCCTGCGCGGGAGCACGAGTTGGCGGGCGAAGAACGGTACGTGAGCGTCTTTTTCACTCGGCGTTGCGACATTGGGCGGGAAGGTGGGGGGGGAGGGGGGGGGTGGTCTGGCTCTGGACCTCTGCTTCGTGCGACTGCTTGCAAGATTGCTGCCTCTGGGGGAGACTCCGCCCGCGCGAAACAGGCGCTCAAATTAGCCAAGAGCTACTCCATGGGGGGGGGAGGGGGGAGGGGAGAGGGCCCGCGCCGATCGGCAACACAACGAAGAAGAAAACGATCACATAGCAAAAACTTGTTCCGCCGTCGTGGACGCGTGCTGCCCAGGCGGCCAAATGTTTGTACCCCTACGGTGCCATGTAGGGGTACAACCTTTCAGCCGCCCGAGGGCCAGGCGTCAGCGACGGCGGAAAAGTTTACCTTCTACCGCTCTTCACCCCCTGAAAAAGGAGGGCCGAGAATTTCTGTGTATGCCGTTTGTGCCTCCCCGGCTTTCAGAAGCAAGCCCTTCGTTTAGGTCGGGCATGCCCTCCTACAAACTAATCTTGGACGAGAATATAAAAGATACTCTAACATATTCAAAAATAGCGACACATTCTTTAAAACAACCGTCCGCTGACTATTTTCCAATGTTTGGATATTCCTCCTGTAGAGGGACACGCCCGACGTAAAACTTGCCCACTTCTTGTTCTTCCTGTCTGCCACACGCCTGCGGCGGTGGGTGGGCGAATAGGGCCCTGCTGGAGGCTTGCAAATTGGCACCAGCACCAACACATGAGGGTGCCTCCACCAGGGGGCAGAGGATCATATACTGTGGTGTTGGTGGTGGTAACCTTTCGAAGACCTAGGGAGCCCGAGCATGACCACCATTTACAAGATCTGGATCATCTTCCCTCAGTGGAAACACACCGCCGATATTGGTTTTGGCGTCAACCTCTAGACCTCTAGGCCTGAACATGGGCTCCGGTATGCGCCGTGGCCTGGCACGCGCCCGCCGCCCTGGTAGAGCGGAGGCGCCCGGGAGCGCCCTTCGCAGGTTTGTTTTCCCCTCGGTCTGAGTCGGGGGCTGCGGCCCGCAGGCCAGAAGATCGGACATAATAACCATAGCTATATATAATATATATATATATATATATATATATATATATATATGTATATATAGGTGTATTATATATATATATATATATATATATATATACAGATATACAGATAACTTTCGACGGGCCGCGTGGAATTTGGGGATCCGCGCTGGCGCCCCCTCCCTGGTGCGCGGAGCGCGCCAGGAGCGGCGCCGCAAGCGCCGCCCCGGGGGCCCAGCGCCGATCCCAGAAATCCGCGCGGATCCCCGAACGTGTGTGGTTATACAGTTTTCCTCCCTCTACAACTATGTTGTTCCCATCGTACTTAAGGACCACATCCCAGAAATCATTGCGAGCACCCGGAAAAGTAAGGGTGTCGAAAGAGTGTCGGCACAGTGTCTCCCAGGGCCCGACGCGTTAAAACCCGCGAGTTTTGGGGGGCGCTCGAAATTCTTTATGGTGGTCAGGGCTAAAGTAGGTTGGAACATTCATAACTCTGCAAAGGGGATTTGAGCTGTTCGTGGTGCTTCTGGGGACTCGGGTGAGGACCGCCCCCCCTCGGGCGTGTCCCCCGACAGGGGGATTTGCGAAGAAACATGAAACAAATACCCCAAGAATGCACCACAAAGGTCAAAACATATTCAATACACAGTCCCCAGACTATCTTTGGTATTTTTTTTTATTTTTCGTCGAAAATCCCCCTGAAGAGGGACAGGCCCGACTTAAGACTTGGGTGAGGACCGCGCCCCTGTGCCAGACGGCGGAAGGATCCCGCGCCGCAGGCCAGGGAGCAGAGGGAGGCGGGAGGGAGGGCCCGCGCCGAGGGGGTGGTGCCCACAGGGCAGCCCGAGGCAGCTCCGCCGCGGAGGACCTGGGTGAAGAGGCCCTGGGGCGACAACAAAAACGGGCCTCACGCGAGATGGCGCAGCGGCCTGGCGTTAAGCCGGGCCTGTCCCTCTACAGGGGGATGTTGGGCATTTTTTTTTTTTTTTTTTTTTTTTTTTTTTTAAAAAAAAAAGACCCCCAAAATGCACCCCAAATGCCCCCAAAAAAGTCAACAATAGTCCCAGACTATTTTTGACTATTGTTGAATATTCCCCATGTAGAGGGACGGGCCCGACTTAAGCCTTGCGCGGTGGCTTACGCGGACCGCCCGCGCGGCGCGCCGCATTGACAGCGAGGGCGCTTTCGCCCCACCTGCCCCGTCTCACTTCCCCCTCTAAGCTCGCCGCCAAACTGGGGTGCGGGAGCGGTGTGGGTCGCAGGGAGGAGGAGGAGGAGGAGGAGGAGGAGGGGGAGGAGGAGGAGGAGGAGGAGGAGGAGGAGGAGGAGGAGGAGGAGCAGGAGAAGGAGGAGGAGGAGGAAGATGAGGAGGCAAAAGAGGAGGAGGAGGCGGAGGAGGAGGAGGCAGAGGAGGAGGAGGCAGAAGAGGAAGAGGCAGAAGAGGAGGAGGATGAGGAGGAGGAGGAGACGTCGAGGAGGAGGAGGTCGAGGAGGAGGAGGAGGTCGAGGAGGAGGAAGAGGAGGAGGAGGTCGAGGAGGAGGAGGAGGCCGAGGAGGAGGAGGAGGCAGTACCCCTCTCACTTCCCTCCCCGGGCTTGCCGCCAAGGGGGAGCAGGCGGCCGACGGGGTAGGGAGGCATGCTGGGGTGCGCGGCGGGGGGCGGCGGGGCGGAGGCGCGGCGAGGGTCCCTCCCTTGGGGAGCGCGGAGGCGACGAGGGGGGGATAGCAAAGGGGGGGTTTGAGAATCAGCTCACGTAGCTGATTTTCCTGGCGCCTCCCGGCGCCAGAGGCGGCTATGTATCGAGGAATGGGCCCCTCGGTGGGGCCGAAACCAGCTGCATGCAGCAGATTTCGTACCCCCCCCTTTCCCTATCCCTCCCTTTGATCCGGCCCGATTGGGGAGCGCGGAGGCGACGAGGGGGGAGCAGGAGTCGGCGGCGCGCCCAGGGGGGAGGTGGGAGGGGACATACCCTCTCAGAAGGCGGCGGGTCTTCTGAGAAACTCTCGGGCCTTCTGGACATTGTTTCCCCCGGGGACCGGGGATGGACAGACCCCCCTTTAGCAAAACGTGGTTTAGTGACAACGACCTGAGGCCCAAACCTGGCGGGCGCAAGCCTGGAAAATAACGGCCACGGCGCCCTCTCGAGAACCGAAAACGGACAATTCACTAATCGACGTGTCACTGTTGGGGGTTCTGTCAACCCCCGAGGGGAAGGCTCAGCGAACGTCTCGGAGGGCCCTGCCAAGGCCGTCCGAGCCTTCGAAGGAAGCCCGCAGCTCGTTTCTTTCCCTCCTGGGCTCGCCGCCGAAGGAGGCGGACGGGGAGGAGCACGACCGCGACGGCGACCACGGCGGCGGCGACGACGGCGGCGCGGCCAGGAGCGCGGCGCGTGCCCCGGCGGTCCTGGTTGCGCCGCAGCTGCTGCCTGCCGGGGAGGGCCGCTTGCTCTCTCTCGGACGTCCATGGCCCGTGCATGTTTCGGTCTCGGGTTCCTCTGCATGTGCCTGCTGGCGCACCGCAGCCGCTGCTCCAATCCCTGGGTGTGGCTGTGACGCCGCCCCGCGCCCGCTGCCAGGGGTGCAGCACAGGCTGGCCGCCCCGGCCGCGCAACGGCGGGCCATGCCGCGCGAGCGCTCGCCCTCCAAACCCGCCCCCGCTGCGCAGGTCTGAGCGATGCCAAGGCCGCCGGAAGTCGGGACGAAGGAAAGGGAGCAGATCCTCAATACACACTCCCCCGCTAAGGGGGGCCCCCGATGGGCAACTCGGCGGGCAGCCATGCGGCTACAACACGCACACACACACACACACACACCGACTCTTTCTTTGTCATGCCCCCGACACGCCCGCGGGTATCCCTAGAAGCAGGCTGTCAGTGGCACCCCGACCCGCCCGCGGGGGAGAAGCTGAGCCCCCGACGTGTTGTACCCTACCATGCAGGCAAGACGGAGAGGATGAGGAGCAGAGCAGTAAGTAAATAGCAGCCGTGTGCGCACGCACATGAGCAAAAGAGGACACATCAGCGCGTTCGGCTGTACTGCCGCGCTGCACCTCTCCAGGTGTCTGCTGGAACGGCAGCAATATCTGACAAACGTATGTTACTTTGTACACATGCATTATGAGCGTGTCTCAGCACGTTCCTCGACCACACCTGTCGTGGTCGGCCCCGCTTGCGCGGCCGTGCCGGGTCCAAAAGTTTCACAGATAAGGAGCAGGGCAGGAGAGCCCGACATCGCATCGCCACATCGGGTCGGCGATCGGAAGGGATCGCAGCGGAAAGACATCGGCAGCCGAGCCGGGAAACGTCGGATCGGCGTCCACGGAGCCCACATCGGAAAGAACACCCACGGACGCCAAAGCAGGCCTCCCATCAGAGATCGGAACCCGAGTCGGAATCAATCCCAGGTCGAATCGCATGGGAACCGGAAGCAGTCGACATCGAATCGCATCGAATCGGAGGAGTCGAAATGAGCCCAGGGAGAGGGGGAGGAGAGAGGAGGGAGGAGGCGGAGGAGGAGGGAGGAGGGACGAGGGAGGAGAGAGGAGGGAGGAGGGAGGAGGGAGGAGAGAGGAGGGGAGGAGAGAGGAGGGAGGAGGAATGATAGAGGAGAGAGGAGGGAGGAGAGAGGAGGCGGAGGAGGATGGACGACGAGCCCCAGACCCCACCCCGTGACGCCTCGCACGCCCTGCGGCCTTCTGCCCCCCTCTCGCGCCCTCTCTCCGCCCCGCTCCTCCCTCCAGGCTGCCCGGAAGGCGGAGAGGAGCCGCCCTGCAGGATCCTTCTAGGCACGGCATGCTGCATGACATAAACATAGAACAACTAAACACGAGCAGTGACACAAACACGAACAATGACACGAACATAGACACCAATAGGCTTCTGGGGACACGAACAATGACATAAACATAAAAACTCGGGGGTCCG